GGAGAGGAGAGGAGAGGAGAGGAGAGGAGAGAAGAGAAGAGAAGAGAAGAGAAGAGAAGAGAAGAGAAGAGAAAGAAGAGAAGAGAAGCAAAAGAACAAAAGAAAAAAAAAGGAAGAGAAACTGCCAACCAAGAATACTATATCCAGCAATCCCATATTTCAAAACCAATGGATGATAAGGACTTTCTCAGGCAATCAGAAGCTGACTTTATTACCACTAAACCTGCCTCATAGGAAATGCTAAAAGGAGTTCTTAAGCTGAAGGAAGACAATACTAATTAGTAAATGAAAATATATTAAAGTATAAAACTCACTGGTAAAGCTATATACATTGTCATATCCAAAACATTCTAATACTCTAATGGAAGTGAGTAAATCAATTATATCTCTAATGTAAAGGTTAGAAGGCAAAACTATTAACAAGTAAAGTACAACAATTTGTTAAGGGAATAAAAATTACATAAAAATTTTAAGTATAACATCAGAAACATATGGGAGAAAGGGGTGTAAAGTGTATAGTTTGTGTATGCAATCAAAATTAAGTTATCAACTTAAAATACCCTGTTATATAAACTGTTTTATGTAAGCCTCAAGCTAACCACAAAGCAAAAGTCTATAACAGACACACAAGAGATAAGAAGATAAAATCCAAAGCATACCACTACAGAAAGCCATTAAGCGCCACCTCAACCCCCCCCACACACACAAAGTACAAGCAAGAGAAGAAGAATAGAAAAAAAATCTATAAACAGAAAACAATTTACACTAGTTAAGTCCTCACCTATCAATAATTACTCTGTAAATGGATTACATCCCCAATCAAAAGGTATAGAGTGACTATTAATAAAAAGAACAAGACCTTTTCAATCAATAAAAAGAACAAGACCTGCCAAAGTGCTGAGATTACAGGTGTGAGCCACCATGCCCTAGCCTGGATAAGGGGCCAATACCCAAAATACACCAAAAAAAAAAAAAAAAAAAAAAAAAAAAAAAAAAAAAAAAAAAAAAAAAAAAAAAAACCCTCAAACTGCTCAATAAAAACCAAATAACCCTATTTTTAAAATGGGCAAAGACCTGAATAGACATTTCTCAAAAGAAGACATACAAGTGGTCAACAGATACATGAAAAAAATGCTTAACATCTCTTATCACAGAAACGCAAATCAAAACCACAAAGAGGTATTACCTCACACCTGTTAGACTGGTTATTATTTTTAAAAATGAAAAATAGTATGTGTTGGCAAGGGATGTGGAGAAAAAGGAACCCCTGTTCACTGTTGGTGGTACTGTAAGTTAGAACAGCCATTTTGGAAAACAGTATGGAGGTTCCTCAAAAAACTAAAAACAGAATTATCATTCAATCCGGCCATTCCACTTCTGGGTATACCTATTCAAAGGAATTGAAATCAGTATGTCAAAGTGATGTCCACACTTTCATGTTCATTACACCATTATCCACAACAGCCAAGATAGGGATTTTTAAAATATGGCATACACATACAATGGAATACTATTCAGTCTTTAAAAACAGGAAATCCTGTCATTTGCAACAACAGATGGACATAGAGGACATTCTGCTAACTACAATGAGCCAGGCACAGAAAGCCAAATACTATATGATGTAGCTTGTATGTGGAATCTAAGAATGTTAATCTCATAGAAGTAGGCAGTACAATGGTGGCTACCAGAGGATAGTGGGGTAAGTGGTAGACAGGGAAAGGGGAGATGTTGGTGAAAGGTATAAAGTTTCTGTTAGACAGAAAAAAAAAGAGGTTCTGGTGGTCTATTACACAGCATGGTAATCACAGAATAACGTTTATTTCAAAACAGCCAGAAGAAGGAATTTTAGGCCAGGCATGGTGACTCACACATGTAATCCCAACACTTTGGGAGGCTGAGATGGGTGGATCACTTGAAATTAGGAATTCACAACCAGCCTTGCCAAATGGTGAAACTCCATCTCTACTAAAAATATAAA